TTGATAACAAAAGACTATCTAAAACCAAATAAACAACAGCAGAACTTCACAACTACTTTTTCTCTAAAAGCTAACTGTTTAATGCAAAAATAAAGTGAATTAAAACAAACGAAAATAAAACTGCCATAATATTTCAAGAGCTACATATTTGACAAGATTTCAAGGCTGTTAACTTGTTATCTTGCCAATTCTGACTGAGGATGCCAAAGTTATATAACAGAAAAACTCACTTTTCAAATGTTTTAAAAAAGATTTCTTTTTAGTTTTCTTTCCTACACTACAGGTCATCTGCATAAACCAGTAATAACTATATTTAATTGAATATTCACTATGTAAAGCAGTCTTTGGAAGAGTCCAAAAAGCTAGCTGTAATTATTATAATAATCTATGTTTGGGAAGCAGGCAGGTGATTACAAGCTTCTTGCAAGCATTTTAATGGTTCTTTTTATTTGACACCTACTATCATCTTAATATTGGATTGCTCCCACTGATCTGCAAAGCCAAAATAGATTTGCTCCTCTTTCATAGTTATACTAGACTAGAAATAGACACTACAATTCAAGGCTCTTTATGATGTTTTGCTTTACTTTTCCATTGGCATATTAATAAGCGTCCTATCATTTCTTTGTTGAATTTTAACTATCTCCACCATTTGGTTGCTACCACTAATTATATTAATGTGTTATTTTAGGGAGATTGCATTTTGACAATGGCTTATTATCAGCCATGTAAGACTAACAGTTTTATCCTGAAACTATATTTTTGTAGTTTTCTTGACAGCACTGACTGTCTAAAAATTATTATACCACATTCTCTGATGCTTTGATTATAAGTGCATTTCTTTTTAGCTATCCCCAAGCCATATCTTGGAATGAAAACATAATTCTTGTGCTCTGTTTTAAAGACTTTGGGTTGTTTATTTTACTTCTAGTCTATCTCACCATCTCACACGGTATAAAAATAAAAATCAAACTAATCATTGCAAGAAGCAGAAAGAGAAAGACATCATAGGTGCATCAAAATCTTCTACACAACCTGCATTAAATGGAATTTAACTTATTCAGAACATGCCCATGCTATAAAACTGTTGTTGGAATAGGAAGGGGAATTTAGTATCACATTTTGCTGAGCACTCTGAACTGAAAAATAATAAGAAATCCTGTAGAGCTGAGGAAGCGAAGTTGGCCAAGTAGCAGGAAAATATTTGTTAATCATCAGGTACAGGTTGTGTAATTTAATCACTCTGACAAAACCTTCTCCCCCCCCCCAAATTCTTCAAACTGATCAAGATACTGGTATCAAGTTAATACTCTTCAGCCTTGCCCACAACAAATGGATCATCCTCAGGTAAATCCTTTTTTCTAAATTACCTAAGAATAAAGTGTTTCTTAAGGGTGGAGGTTCATTCTCCGAGCTTGTGGGTTGGTTTCCGAACGTTTCGTTACCAGGCTAGGTAACATCTTCAGCGGAGTTTAGGAATTCCCTAAATTTCGCTGAAGATGTTTCCTAGCCTGGTAATGAAATGTTTGGAAATCAACCCACAAGCTTGGAGAACAAATCTCCACCCTCATCCTACACCTGAGCTATGTATATTCACCAGTATTGTAAAGTGTTTCTTGTATACAGCTGTGGTGCAATGCAGGTAGTCCTGGATTTTTTGGGGCAATCCAGGAAGACTCTTTAGCTCACAGACCCAGCCTTTTCAGGAAAACTTTCTTGTATTTATTATTTATTATTATTTATTAGTTTGATTTACATGCTGCCCTTCTCCGGAGACTCAGGGCGGCTTACAATGCTTTTAAGCAATAATTGAATGCCTTTGGATCCATGGTGTCTGAGATTAACATTAATTTTTTCGTGTACTTTTTCTATATTTTGACAAAAAATATATTGTGACTAATTCTATGAGTTTAATCAAAGCTCTGTCTATCTATCCATCTATCATCTATCATTATGCCACAACAGTAAGAATTAAAACACATCTGTTGATGTAGAATCAGCAAACGCTTACAAAGATCTTAGCCACTGATTTTATTAGAGCTTATGTTAAGACATATAATAATTTATAACCGTGCAATGTTTTTATAAAAAAATCTGCTCCATTAGACTACTTGAGTTAAGCAAGTGTTTGTACAGTTATTCATTAATTTGGCTTGTTTGAAGACAACATACTTAATTAGTATTTTTCATTAAATTTTGACTCCTCCCTAGCTCTGTGCTACATCCTGCTAAACACCCTTTTTTTCCTTCTTGGAACAGTTCTCATCTTTCTCGGAACAGACTCTGTTCGATGAAGAACTATTTTCTTTACTTTTAAAAAAATATTCTTTTATCATAAAAAATAAAATACAAAACAGTAAAACAAACAAAATGTAACAAAACAAAAGTATAAATTCAACCTAGGGGTGAAATGCTACCGGTTCACTCCGGTTTGGGCGAACCAGTAGTGATATAAACTACCGGTTCATGTCAACCGGTAGTAAAAAAAAAAGCTAACTTTTTTTAACCAGTAGTTTAAAAAAGCTACCGGTTCTTCCGAACCGATATTTCTGACAATCAGCTGTGCTGCACAGTTTAGCTTTGCTAGAAAGCAGGAAATCCTGCTTTCTAGCGAAGCTAAATCGCGCGGCACAGCTGATCCTCTACCTCGCTATTGTACTTACCTTCCCAAGCCTCCTTTTGGTGTGTACTGTGCATGTGCGCGCCCGCAGCACGTGTTTGTTGTGTAGTGCGCATGCGCGCACAGCGCACATTTGGTGGGTACTGTGCATGCATGCGCAATGCACGTTTGGTGGCTAATGCGTATGCACGCACAGTGTGTACTTGGCGGGCAGCACATATGCGCGGCCAGCAAACCGGTAGCAAACCGGTTCAGATTTCACCACTGATTCAACCCTAATATCAGCAACAAAAAATAGTGTGCAAAAAAAGATGAAAAAATAATCAATTAAATTTAATATTGCTCAACAAAATACATATATGTATGTATGTATGAAAAAGCAGTCAACAGGTTGAACTAAACATTACACTAATCTTCAAATTCCTCTGTTAACCATCTTTTATTATATTTAGCACGTAGAAAGTCCACAAACAGTTTCCAGTCTGTAATAAAGCTGCCTAGTCCATTATCTATAATCAAAGCAGTGATGAAGAACTATTTTCAAGTTACAGACATCTTTCTCTGTTGTAGCCTAGTTAGAAAACTGGTAACTACAAGTAGTCCTTGATTTACAATAGTTCGTTTAGTGACCATTCAGTTACAACAGCACTGAAAAAAGTGACATGACCATTTTTCACTTTTATGATCACTGCAGCATCCCCAAGGTAATGTGATTTATAACTGGATGCTTGACAACTGGTTTACCAACTGTGGCAACAAAAGTCGTGAAATGGGGTAAAACTCACTTAGCAATATAAATTTGGGGCTCAACCGTGGTCGTAAGTCAAGGATTACCTGTATTCTATGGTTTTGTATTTCTGTTTATTTATCTAGAAACAAAAATACATTGTTAAATGTTTTACAGTTATTAAAACTAAATTTTGAGTGTGTGACAAATCTTTCGCCTCTAGTTATCAAGAATGGATGGAATTGGTGTGTTACGAACTATAAACAACATATGGTGATATAATATTAACAGTCTGAAATAAATGCTATATACAGAAAATGCATTGCCCTTGAAAAAACCCATTAGACAAGATAGAGGTATACATTTAAGCCTCAAGAATTTCCGTAAGAAACATGCACTCACAATATCCTTGAATCTTAAAACTTTTTGAAAAAGGCCCTAATGTTGCAGGATAACTAATAAGAATCAATATTTCATTATGCACAGCATTATAAAATCTAAAATATTTAAACCGAATTTAAAGTAAGAATTTTGTAAAAATATTGAAACCTCTTATAGAATTTGGCGAGGTTTTCTAATCTTTTAAGTTGATTTTGCTTTTTCCATTTATGTCCTCAAACCCCTTTACTGTAACCCTAGGTTTGTCATCAATAACAACACTAGTATTCCTTGAGCAAAAGGCATGATACAAATTTAATAATTAAATAATCATTAATTTTCATAAAAACAAAACAAAAGAAAAAATGATTACAAAGTTTTCTACCCAAGGGAGAGATTTGTATGGAACTATAAAGCAAAGTTGTAGATTTCTGTTTACATATGAACTATGAGCTTCAAACTAGATCAGAGATAAGTTCTTGATAATAAAAAGGATTATGGCACACTAATTACTATTTTATGCTGATCAGATGAAACTATAGACAGTCAAAATTAATCTTGCTCAGTTTGCAATTCTATTAGAGTTTCACAAATACTTCCTTTGAATTTGCTATGGTTTAGGGCCCTCATCATCCCAGATAATTTATCTTTATCTCTCTTCACAGCAGAGGCCAGAAATCTTCTTTCTGCCTATTGTAATTTCTTCTGTTGGAAAGAAAATCCAGCCTTCATTTAGCTAAAGTTTTTGATACAAGAAGACAAAAGAATCTGGACAATGTCCCAAATCCAATTATTGAGATATCTGTCCAAACTAATTCAGAAAGTTAATATACAAGATCCAGTCTGGATTGGTTATCGGAGCCAGAGGTTTTGCCTTCTAAGCTTTCAAACTCATGCTGGAACCCATCTTCAGGGAATTTGACACATTCTGCTAGAGAGAAGTTCCCTGAAGATGGGCTCCAGCATGAGTCCAAAAGCTCGGAAGACAAAACCTCTGGTCCCGGTGACTGACCCAGATTGGATCCTGCAGCATTATCCTGGGACACATATATACGCCCTCATTTGTGAGTTAATATATAATACCATCTTAACTTAAACGCAGAAAAGCAATTATAATTATGCTAATCACAATCAGAACGTCTGCTTGGGATAAAATTTATGTTATTGCCATATGCATCTATACATACAGAGACAAGCCAATAAGCAAATATTGACAGAGACGTGTCTGGTAATGTTTATAATTGGGTAAACATTATTTTTATAGCGTGCACTTACCCGAACTTCTTCTTCTCTGAGATCTGGCATGGTGCTAATGCAGAGGGTAACTGCAGTGATGACAACAAAAGAAACCGATATGCAAGCAAATATTTTTCCTGGGATCCCTGAATGAGGATTTTCTACCATGTCCCTGAGCTTTCTCATGTACAAATGCAAGCGGCTGCTGTCCTTGAAGGCACTTTCAAGGGGTGCTTCATTAGGTTCTACTTCTTCTTCAAACAATGCCGCCTCTGCTATCTCTTCTTCTTTCTGTCGTAGTCTTCTTCTACAGCACCACTCCAGATGTTCCTCTTCTATCCCCCAGTAAACCAGTTCATCTTGGAAAGAGAGAGCGCACATTTCCCTGAGGAGCCTTAGCTTCCCAGCAGTCAAAAAAGTCATGATGGTCCTGAAGGCACAAGGATTGCGGTCAAAAAAGAATTCATTGCAGTTGACATCATAATCATCACATATATCCATTATTTCGTCATAGTTGTTGCATGATTTTAACTTTCCAAGCCTGGTCAAGGGACAATTCTCTAATGTGGTCCATGGAATTTTGTATTTTATGCCACCTACATTGATTATCACATTCCTGGTTCGGTCCTCCCTACAGGCAAAACAATACAAGTCTTCCCCAGGACTGAGAAGTTTTGCTTTTTTGTAGAAGACGCCTTTCTTTGTCTGCACATCACAAAGTGTTTCCAAGTTGTTGTAAGAGTATGCAGTAAATTCGGGCTCTGCATTCCCAGGCAGCAATGCCATTTCCTGATACATTTGTTACATTCATGAAGGGGCCAGAGCAGTTGAAGAAATGAGAGTATTGACTAGTGAGGATAGAAAAGGTGAATATATTAGTGTCAGAAATTGCATTTTTAATAAAGGCAAAACAAACCCCTTCTGATGCTATCATCTACATTACGATTACATTTTTCTCAAGAAACCTTGTGGTTTCCCTCGATATTCCTACAATGTACAGAAAACAACTAGAAAAAGTTTTCACATTTCAGAATCCAACAAATATAATTAAGTATATGTAAAACACATCTTTACCTATAAATCTTCAATAAATTTGAACGTGAGAATCTTCAACATATGTCACACAATTTAAAAATTCAAAACAGAAAAAGCAACTTTAAAATGAGGGGAAGGGCATTCAAGATGTGGAGAATTGTTAATTTGTCCTCATAAACTTTGCTTTGACTCCTTGCATCATCAACCACATGCCCTACAGTTCTCTACACAGACAACCTAAGGAAGAAGGGAATCGGATGGATGGATCACATGTGAACATCTCCATGGGCCTGAATAAATTCCCACATATTTTGAATATTATAAATTTCCATAAACATCTTCAATTTCATTCTGTAATTGCCATGAAGGGGGGGAAAAAAACCCTGCAACTTTTCATGAGAAACAGGTTGTCCACAGGTACCTAATAAATCAGGGTAAAATGTCTTTGTCTTTTATTGCAAATTACCAAATAACTTATTTCTTTTCAAAATGGAACATACATTCATTAAGTCTGGGCAGATAGAATGTAGAATTTTATTTCTGAAATTTGATCACATTTTTAAGCATTCCTTTATTTATGACCATGACTTCCAGTCCTGCTTTAGGCACAAAGCCAGCTGGGTGTCATTGGGCTGGTCACTTTCTCTCAGCCCTAGGAAGGACGAAATGGCAAACCACTTCTAAAAAACATTGCCAAGAAAGTTGCACTGACTTGTCCAGGCAATTTCCAAAAACTGGACATAATTTAATAGGAAAAAAGAAATCTTATTAGGACAAAATAAGAAAGTACTGTTTTTTTGTTATAGCCTTTTAACCCATCAATTAACCCATTTAATTTTCAATTGTAATTATCTTTAGACTCATACAATAATTCCTTGAATGTATCATGATAAATTTGTAGTATTCACTAGAATTTTTAAAGCTAAATTTTAAAAAATGCAAGCCAAACTATTGATAGCATAGAAGATATTCATATCAATAAACCCAGGGGTATAATCAGCTCATTGCTTGATTAAATTTCAGTAGCAGATATTCTGAGTAAAGTATTGGTCCAGTTTGAATTGTACTCCATTAGAATATGGCTGGACTACTATTTCAAAATATATAAAAATATTCTCCAAATTGATAATGGTATTATTTCCAGCAAAAAACAAGAAAGTTTCATTCTCATGAATTCAGTACCTCCAAAAATCAGTTTCTCATGAAGAGTTGCAAGATATTTTTTGCATATATTTTAATATAAAATTATTTGTATATTTTTTATTCTTATTATTGTCTTTATTGTATTTTAAGCAAAATAAGAATCTGAGTCTGATATCAGGATTTACATTTGTGATCATAATATTCTTACATAACTGTATACATTTGTTCTTTATGGTCCTAGAATGAAAATGTACAAATAAGAATAAATGAAGACAGCATTCTACCAATTCCTTTATTTATTTATTTTAGCGTACATACAATTTTCCATTCTCTGCTTGGTGATGCTAAGGTTCACTTCTGTATGTAAATATCGTATCAATTTAATGACTTCAGCTATCAGAATGCCAAACAATGGGTAACTGGTATTTTAACCAGGCAGATATATAGATGAACGTATAAAATATTGAGGGTTTTGACAGAGAAGATTGAGGGAGGGAAGATGTCCCAAAGGACAGTGGTGTATTTTTCTTATGTAGTGACATATAATATAGAGCTTTATTAAGCACTAGCTGCAGTCATGCCTAGCTACTATTCTTGGACAGGAATATGCTATGTTACTTCATCCAACGGGCATGAGAAGAATGGCCATAGGCAAGGCAAATGATGCCCAGGGTGTCCTCGTTCAAATGACACAACCTGCATATTTCTATCAGATATCACGATATTACACAAACATGCCATTCAGATTTACACATTATCATTTTGATGGCACTGTAAATTGTTGCACCACTGCTGGGAGCTCTATTGCTATTAGCAACCTGATGCTACCACCTCAGGAATTGCCCTTCCGTTATTTTTCTTCAAGAACAGAAAGGTACCTCGGCCTTCAAAGCATTTAAATCAGGGGACCCAATTCAGCCTCCAGGCTGCCAATGTTAAGCTTAAAGTGTCCATAGAACCAAATTGTAATTTTGACAGAAAGAGAAAATGATTAAATACATGGAAATCACCATATTATTAGTACTGAGATGATTTCACCACATTTTAATTGAATTTAAATCAATTTTAGCTTTGTCCTGACTCTATCCATTTTTCTTTCTGGCCATTTTTAGTATTTAGAGTTTGGTTCAATTTCTGGCACAATAATCTAAAGGATAAAAATGTATTTCTTAGCTCAAAAGCTACACATCTTTGGTTGAAAGATGACCTTGTATGGCTGCTGAATTTGTCCAAGCTAAAGTGGAAAATAAGAATACATTAAATAAATTTTGATAATAATAATAACTATCACTATTATGAAGCCAAAAAGGAAAACGAACGTTGTCTTACCTGAACGTTCCTTTTCAGCTCTCTGCGACTGCAATCCACCTCTGGGTTCTCTTCTTCCTCGCTTCCTATTGACTGGGTGATTCTTTTTAACTGTCTCTCCGTGCTGTGGCCACGCCCACCTTCCCATGATGCACCAGTCTTTGAACGAAGGCGTGACCACCTAGTAGGCAAATCAAATTTCAGAACAAGCCATATAAACTTCAAAACTCTGGAACCCGTAAAAACACAAGAAATCAGAAATCAACAGGGCGGGTGTGGATTGCAGTCGCAGAGAGCTGAAAAGGAACGTTCAGGTAAGACAACGTTCGTTTTCCAGCCCTCTGCTCCTGCAATCCACCTCTGGGATATACCAAAGTTCAAATCCCAGGGCGGGAAAAAACTACTTGGACTCAGCCTCCTGGCCCTCAAGAACACTTTGGAGAACACGTCGCCCAAAGGATGCTTCGGCCGAAGCATACGTATCAATTCGGTAATGTCTGATGAAGGGTGTCACCGAAGACCAAGTAGCGGCCCAGCATATGTCTGAAACTGAAGCCTGCGTAGCCCAGGCGGCCGACGCTGCCGCACTACGAGTAGAATGAGGTAAGATGCGACTCGGCACAGGACGAGAACGTTGCTTGTAAGCTGTAGCTATGCATGTCTTAATCCACCTGCCCACTGTGGATGAAGAGATCTTTTGGCCCAAGGAAGGTGGATGAAACGACACCAGAAGAGCCTCAGTTTTACGGATGGATTCAGTCCTGCGAATATAACGACGTAGAGCCCTACGCACATCAAGGGTATGCCAGTCTTTTTCGCGTTGATGTTTCGGCGACGGGCAAAAATCCGGAAGGATAAGCTCCTGAGCCCGATGAAAATATGAGTTCACTTTAGGTAAGAATGCTGGGTCCAGACGTAGTATTACTGTATTAGGTTGAAAAATACAGAGATCTTTCCTAATCGATAGGGCGGAAAGCTCAGACACCCGTCTGGCCGAAGTGATCGCCAAAAGAAAGGTCAACTTGAAAGACAAAAACTTTAAAGGAATAGACCCCAAAGGTTCAAAAGGAGGGTACATCAAGGTCTGAAGGACAAGGGAAAGGTCCCAGGACGGGTACCTATGAACGACAGGTGGGCATAGGTTTACTGCTCCATGAAGAAATCCCTTAAGTAACGGATGCATAGACAAAGACGAGTATGGGGGACACCGAATAACCGTAGATAATGCAGCCGTCTGACGACAAAGGGTAGATGGTGACAACCCTTTGTCTAAGCCGGATTGAAGAAAACACAGCACGTCCTCTATCTGGGCTGAAGTAGGGTCCACCAGGTTGGCCGCACACCAGCGACAGAAAGCCCTCCAGGAAGAGTCGTATATCCGTGAAGTTGACGGCCTACGAGAAGCTTGAATCGTACTTATGACGGAGTCGGGCAGTCGGTCCTTTCGCAATATAAGCCGCTCAAACACCAAACAGCCAATTGGAGCCATTCTGGCTCTGGGTGGTCGATGACCCCTTGGCGTAGGGCGATGCGGTCTCGTGGAATCAGCCATGGTGGACGAGACGATAAGGCCACAAGATCTGCGTACCACTGTCGACGAGGCCAGTTGGGAGCCACCAGGATCAATTCGGCCCTTTCCTCCAAGAGCCTCCGAATTACCTGAGGAATCAAGGGAATTGGGGGAAAGGCGTACAAAAGCCCCTGGGGCCAGCGGCATCGCAGCGCGTCGTGATCCATTGCCGACTGGCAAGGGTAACGAGTCACATATAGTGGAAGTTGAGCATTCGACGGACTGGCGAACAAGTCCACGGCAGGTGTGCCGAAGCGAAGGATGGCTTCGTGAAAGAGCCTCGGATGCAGCTGCCATTCCGAGTGATCGAGACTTTGTCTGCTTAGCCAGTCTGCCCGCACGTTGTCTACGCCGGAGATGTGATCGGCTCTCAAGGAAAGAAGGTGGCGTTCCGCCCACCGGAATAGACTCTCTGCTTCTAACATCAGAGACCTCGAATGAGTCCCGCCTTCTTTGTTTACATGGGCCTTGGCTGCAATGTTGTCCGTGAGCACAAGGACGTGGTGACCCTCCAACTGAGATTGAAAATGTTTGAGGGCCAGGCGGATTGCTCTGAGTTCCAACAGATTGATGTTGTGGCCTCTTTCTGGAACGGACCAACGACCCTGCACCACCTGATGTTGAAGGTGGGCTCCCCAGCCGCGAAGGCTGGCGTCCGAAGTTAGAGTCATTCTGTGTTGAATCAGAAAGTGCGAGCCCTTGCTCACGGCTGATCCCATCCACCACCGAAACGACAGCCGAAGTTGGGGTGGAAGGTATACTTTGTGAAGGGAATCGCTGCGTCCCGAGCGC